CTTGCCATATCCTGATTGGCCCGTCAACTATACAAGCTCACATACATCATATGCAGTCACTACTTTAAATGAGCTATTTAGTCAAATAACACCTTTAAATCGATTAGACTAGTCAAATAACACTTTTAAAATCGATTAGATACTGAAAATATAAACCTCCTAACAAAATTTTACGTAGTCGGTAATAACATGACCCGAAGCCAATGCAACGTCCAGTGTGGTCAGTTTTTTTCTTTCTTTTTGAAAAGCCGATGATAAATTCAGCTACATGTTTACGACCGAAATAGCGCAATATCCGTGTCTTTCAGTGAGAAGTTACCATGTGCAGTACCACGCTGTGACCGACAACACAGTGTCACTTAGCCCGAGTTTCGTCTGGCTCTGACACAAAACTTGGATATTTTGACAGATAGATGTCACGGACTCATAAACATGTACAAGTCATACTTATACATATATAAACATGTACAGTCATGATTATACATATATAAACATGTACAAGTCATAATTATACATATATAAACATGTACAAGTCATAATTATACATATAAAAACATGTACAAGTCATAATTATACATATATAAACATGTACAAGTCATAATTATACATATATAAACATGTACAAGTCATAATTATACATATATAAACATGTACAAGTCATAATTATACATATATAAACATGTACAAGTCATAATTATACATATATAAACATGTACAAGTCATAATTATACATATATAAACATGTACAAGTCATAATTATACATATATAAACATGTACAAGTCATAATTATACATATATAAACATGTACAAGTCATAATTATACATATATAAACATGTACAAGTCATAATTATACATATATAAACATGTACAAGTCATAATTATACATATATAAACATGTACAAGTCATAATTATACATATATAAGCATGTACAAGTCATAATTATACATATGTGTACACGTCTTTTATTAAACGTACATGTTGAAGTTCTATCCATGTTTGGTATGATATGTGACGGTCATCGTTGATGGGCGACTTCAGCATACAACAATACCGCGGGTGACGAATTTGGATCAGATTTCGACTCGTAGGCAGCTCCAGAAATTCCAAGGATACCCACAACCTCCTACAAATCATCAATTGACCAAAATGAAGTACCATCAGATAAACATTTCTCTTCTGTCTAAACAACTTTCTTCTTCCTAATGTCTCCCTTGACAATGCCTCACTTTTGGCCTTTAGTTGAGCGTTCGTCACTGTGAGGAAGGCTTTCGGTTCTGTCCCCTGGCCGAGACATACCAGAGTCTGTAAAATTGGTAGTTTCGACTCCTGCTTAACGCTCAGCAATTTAGGATAGGGGCGACTGGTTCGCCCGTTGTCTGTACAATGTGACCGGGTGCTATCACAAGGAGACAAAACCGAACATATCGCAGCCTCCTAAAACACACACGCATACACTACACGCATGCATCTTTCACACATGGGAGGCCGTCCTGAAATGACCATAGCTGTTGGTAGGACGTTAAATAATACTTAACCAAACTAAACCATCAGATTGGAAGGAAAGCATATAAAACCTATCTTCGGAATTCGAGGGGTTCCGCTCACTAACGTTCTTTACATCCCTGGTTTTGGTTTCATTTCATTTCAAAGACGTGCCTCCATGTGTGTTGTATATGTGTGTTTGTATGCCAGAGACATATTATATTGGTATATTTCCCTTCTTGTGAAAGTGCGGATCTGATAACTGCTTCATAATGCAAAGGTGGTGGGCACGTCTATCAAAAAAAAAATGAATAAATAAAACTAGAAAGGGGAGGAACTCAGCCCTACCAGCGGCTGGCAAAATTGAGGTAATTTTGTTTGAAGTGTCACAGAAATTTCATCCGCTAAAATCCTTCCCACAGCGTAGTCTCGATCGAAAGTAATCTCAATTTTGCCAGCCGCTGGCAGGGGCTGAGTTCCTCACCCTTTTTATCTTAGCTATTAAAAAAATGATAAACGTGCCCTCTACCTATGCATAATGCTATCTCAATGAAATACCATGCCGAAGGCACCCAGCACAATATTCGGCCCGGTCACATTATACTGACAACGGGTGAATCAGTTGTTGCCATTACCCAAAATGTTGAATGTTAAGCAACGAATAACAACTTCCATTTTTAAGGACTTTGGTATGTCTCGGCCTGAGGACAGAACCCATCTGGGCTAACGTTCAACATAAGTCATTAAAGCTACAAAAGAGAGGTAGTGCTCGTCAAGGTGCCAGGAATATTAGGTATTTAGAAATAAAAAGAAATAGATTATAATGGGTGCAGCAGATTTATTTTGGTTGTTTTTGTTTCCCCAAATTATGTAGGGGGTTCCCAGATTAGTCAAATCTTACGATACATGCAGTGGGCAACAGCAGGTATATTCTTTACCAAACTCTGGATGAATCCGGAAATGTGTCTAATCTTCACTCATTATAAATAGACCTCCACCGAGAATGCACCCTTGACGCAATTTTAAACAGGTCTGTACGTATATATCCCCCATGCAATCATCTTGTCGAGATTATTCTATCATTCAAGTTTTTGACTCGAAGATCAGAGAGTAACAGTTATTTCCCTTTGATTACATGCATCAATACTGCATAAGTATTTTGCTATATGTACTGTGTATAATAACTTTCACCAAGACGGCCGATCTGGTGAAAACGCATCGAGTCATCATCTACGCGACCACGTGTGTATTCTCCGGGTATTCCAGTTTCCTCCCACAGTAAGACCCACAGCGCGCTTACACCCGAGCCAACAAGAGTGATCATATACAAGTTCATTATTGTCAATCACATAATAACTAGTCAATATCTAAATCTCACAACAACAAAAAAATGATATTATCATATGTGGTGAAGGGTATTTAATCTTATTAAGAATGTATTTTTCGATTGCATACACTTAACGCATTATGTAAAAAAAAAAAAAAATGATCACGATAGAGAGAGATTTTGAATCATCAAGTATAGTTATTAAATTAAATCATAAAAGACGATGTGGTAATTCCAAATTTTTCGAGTTACAGAATCTTTAGTATTGCTTGTTTGGTACATTGATATCATTGGATACAACAGTCAGGGACCAAAAGCTGATTACCATCCATTTTTCATTTATTATATATATATACATATGTAATTCATGCGTTTAAACATTTTAATTTTCCTGGAATCGCTTTGGGTGGCAGTAAACCGATTTTTTTCGTCACAAAAGATAAATCTGAATTTTTATTCACATTATTTTTCCGTACCTGCTTTTCAATACGATGTTATCATACAAAAAATGTTTTGTCGCAGGGGTCACCTAAAAGCACTACTCTCGGTAAGTACTACTTTAGTGAAACGTAAGGTCGATTTTTAATGGGAATTTTATGTAAAACTGTGATTGGTTTGGTTTAGTATTATTTAACGTCCTATCAACAGCTATGGACATTTAAGGACGACCTTCCCTGTGTGCGTGATGCATACGTGTAGTGTATGCGTGTGTTTTGGGAGGCTGCGATATGTTCATGTGTCTCCTTGTAACAGCGAGGAACTGATGCCGACTGTATAGTACTACCTCACTGAAACATACTGCCGAAGTCACCAAGCAGGACACCCCACCCGGTCACATTATATCGACAACGGGCGAACCAGTCGTCCCACTCCTATCAATTGCAGAGCGTAAACGACCTTTAAACAGACTCTGGTAGGCCTATGTTTCGGCCAGGGGACAGAATGAACCCAAAGCCTTCCTCACAGGGGCGAACGCTCAACCAGAGACGTATATAACATACGTCTCTGGCTCAACTAAGGACCAAACGTGAGGCATTGTCAAGGGAGACATTAGGAAGAAGAAAACTGTTTAGAAAGAAAAGATAAGATCCCAAATTGAGTCGCCTTTTACGATCATGCAATGGGGGCAGCAGGTACATTTCTTATGCCCTACCTGCAGGGACGTAAGTACTTTAGTGCAAATGACAGTGGCGGATCCAGAGGGGGTNATACAGAATTTTTAGTATTGCTTTTTTGGTACATTGATATCGTTACCTAAAAACTACTTTTCCATTTCAAGGACCTCTGATCTTTTCAACTGGATACAACAGTCAGGGACCAAAAGCTGATTACCATCCATTTTTCGTTAATAATATATGTATACATATGTAATTCATGCGTTTTTACATTTTAATAATAGTCCAGGACTATTTCCCTCGACTTCGCCTCGGGCAATAGTCCTTGCCTCGGGGGATCATAAACTTGCTATATCTCTCATACCCATACTTTAACTGTTAACTACAGACGAAGTGATTTCCAGGGAACATCTTCTCTAAAAGTATATACAAACTTTATCAATTTTACAACAATATTGTTACAACATATCTCAATTTATATTAATCACAATTGTTAGCCCGGATGTTACCTCTCCGGCGGTCTGAGAGTAAGAGGAAATTCAAAATCCAATTTGCGACAAAAATATCCCAAAGAATTTCGATTTTAGAAATTCTCATTCTTGATTCCCATTTATGAATTCAAATTTTCCGTTATCAACGATTGTTTTAATTTCATTTTTTGTGTGATATCACGGACTTATCTAATCTAATTCCGTGGTGATATTTTTAAAGAAATAGAGTAAAAACACCAATTATTTTAAGCAGAGACGTATATATTATATACGTCTCTGATTAAAGTAGACAAAGTTTTCGGTGTCAACTTAATTGTTTTGATTTTTACACATCTTTAATGGTGATAAAAATACTCACTCATTTTGTGTTAGTGTTGTCTTTTATTGTTGTAAATACCACAAAATGCTTATTTATACCAGGGACGTATATACTGTCCCTGTTTATACCTATTAACTTTTTTGTTTTATTGATTCAGGGACGTTTATAAATGCGTTTATATACTTCTCTGGCCAACTAGATCAAAATTCTCCTCGAGGTTGGATTGCGCGAAGTTATCTCCCATGTGTGCGGTATCATAGGTGGCGCTCGTTACGTATCGATCAGCTGCAGCAGATGACGAAAGTGGAAGAGGACCGGTGTTTCGGGTGATGTCAGACAAACAGATTATCTCTGAGCATGGCAGGCAAAAGTTCCCTTGACAACGTTACCCAGAGGTGAGCCGCATTTTTCACTTTCATGGTATTGAAGATCATTACTGACAAACCCACGTAATCTTAAAATCTCGGGAGATAGGCCTACCGCAGTAGCATACTGAGTAGGCCTGTATATTGTTTGCAAGTCGGATGAGACCTCCCCTCCCCTAGCAGTCATTACAGTTGACTGTCTTAAATTATAAGTGCGAGTTTGTTTGCATGATTAACAATATTACAGCCAACAGTAGTGTAAAGTTTACGGTAAAGGTATAAATTATATGATGCCAAAGCTAATAAACCTGAATATATAATGATATGTTGAGATAGACGGTTGGGGTATATGTTGAGATAGAAGGCTTTACTTGTACAAAATCGTGTCTGGAGGTTCAGGGGTTTTCCTGTCTAATACTTACAAAGATAATAAGTGTCACGAATTGATTTTCAATAATAGCTACCATAGAAAAGATATACAGGTACTTAATGACATCTATACGCGTTATAGTCAATCAGATGATAATAAGGAAGAAAGACAAGAATGTCTGGTGAAACCAAAGAAGAAGAAGAAAAGAAAGCTTTGAAGTAAATGTAGCTGGAACCACAGGTGCTCAGGTTCTGGAAAATATGTGATATATTTAGGTATAGGACAACGCTGCGATAATGACTAATACGGTTCTAGAATATATATATATAACATTATCGGTTTACGTATCACACCCCACTAGAGTATAAGGGGGGGGTGATATGTAAACAGATAATGTGGAAATATCGAACCCAATTATTTAATATCACAGTGATATTAGATACCTAAATGTAACTTATTTTCCAGAACCCGAGCACCTGTGGCTGGAACTGGACTAACGTTATAGCTGGATCGTTTTCAGGCAACCATGCAGTGTCTGTCTAGAGTTCGGTGGTTAGTTTCAGGTTCAAATCCCAGTCTGGCTTTGGTTTTTCCATTTCGTCAAGTATCTTCATTTAATCAACTACTATACATAGGCTAGCTAGCCCAGTTGGTCAGAATATGACTGGTATTCAACCCAGTCAAGATCTGAAGCATCTATCATCATTTATGGACAGATTGGTCCAGGGATTTAGCCATATAATATATGCTATTATAAATGATATAATGACACTGCATGATATAATTGTATCTCAAACCTCATTAATGTGAGTTCAATGACTATCTCCATTGATGGGCTGCCCTATCAGGGTTTTTTAAATGAAGATAATTTGAAGTTTTGAACAACTTCTAGCATTACATTTTCGGAAATATCCATTTACTGCTTGCCCAACATGAACAAAAGGAATATTGAAAAATGTTATGAAGAAAAAAAGTTTGTCAAATATCGGCCAATGCTCTTTCTGTATCAATTCATAGCCAAGAAAACTTATAGCATTAATACAGGATCCGAGGTAAAGGCCTAAATTAATCTAAACCAATCCAGTTTTTTAACACTCTGACAGCTGACTACAAGTTCTATGGTGTAAATAACTTTTAAATAACATCTGTGATAATTTATATATAGCATATTTATGTCCGATTTGTAAAATGAGATATATGTGTAATCACAGTCTGCCTTTACCCCAATAAATATTAATATTATTATTCCTATAAAGTTGTCATTCCTATCTTTCAATGCATAAAAACACTTAGGCTGTATGGATTGCGCTAAGAGTAGGTTATGTCAGTTACTTACAATTTTAGTAAAAGATGGGTTTGTTTCAAGATACTTTTTCAATCGGAATTGACCAGGTTTTAGACATGCATGTATGTCGCGTGATAGGGTCACATGACATTCGTGACCCTATCAGTTGTCACAACAATACACCAAAACCCTTGTGTGTGGCTACCAACTGTCATACAAAAACTATACTAATAAGTCGATTTATCCTTTTCGGGAATGGTGATCAACATGCTACTTGCTATTTCCTAATTATAGTAATTTATCATTTTTTAAGCCGCTCCAGGCGAGAGCCGGGCGGCTTATTAATTCTGTCCAGAGAACGAAATGACGGACTCACTTCCGTTCGGGGTGCGTGCGCATAATTCAGTTGTGCATGCTTCCGCTATATAGTTTCGTTATCGTAAATAGAAAGTAGAATCTCTGACACTCACCTGTGGGTTACATAAAGTCTTCTGATACTCTTCTCCAAATAATAATCCATACTTTAAATAATTGCTGAAAACAAAATGTTCATCTCAGGTTGATTCTACGAGTGTTGTGGTGGTGAAATTCGTGCACTAGGTTTGAGCGTTTTAGTAACTCGGATTGCGGTCGTAGGAGTGTTACGCGTGTGAAACACATATGATTCGAGAAAGCACATGTGAAGACTTTCAAGCATTGACGCTGTCTATAGAAGGAAGAAGTAGATATATATACTTATAAACCGTATGAGTGATGAAGTATAACCTCTATTTTGATGTTTGAAATAGGAACGTAACATGACATATCGTGCTTAGGTTGATAACGGTAATGGCTCTGAGACGAGACGATATGTGAACTGTGTATGTTTATCAAACATTTCTGTAACACAGCATGCTATTTCTTGTGTATTGATTTATGAAAGTGATACAATTTAAGAGCATGACACAACAGCCGCGCCGTGTCAAAATAGTATCCAATTGGGTGTAAGGGAAATAACTCTTACGTTGTTTAAGTCACATAGAGAAATATGATTCAAATATATTCCAAGAACATTTCTGAGATTTTGTAAATTCAATGACGGTTAATGTAGTCGCTACATATATTAATAATTATATATTAATATGAATAAAAAATAAATAAAAGTAAAAGGAGTACAATGTCTCTTTTCTCCATGTTTTCCCACTGCTGTTAATTATCCTTCATTTCACAAGCACAAAATGCACCTATTCTTTATTATCCATTCACCGATTGTCATTCTGCACGTAAATGCTCATGTCACATCTTTGGAGAATGCTATTTAATGAAAATTACAACAATGCGTCACACTTAAAGAGGGTGAAAAAAGAGGAGAGGGAAAAATGTTTTTAAGGCATCATTTAAGAGGCGATTGATTTTGAAAATCCCAAAGACAACATCATCTCATGACCTGATTTTCAATTAGCAGAATACAGAACACATATCTGAGGTAGTATAGTAAATATTGATGCTCAATGTGTTACTGAACCAATTAAATTTAAAGTGGTGAGCGGCTGTAATGTCAGACTGACATAATTCTAGTTAAACTTTGATTTACCTTTATACTGATAAAATCATAATGGTCTATACACATATCGATTTGTGTAAGATTTACTTTGTATGTGAAATAAGATCTAAATATTTAAAGGAGAGACAGCTTCAGGCCTGATTCAGTCACATGACTTGGGGATAATCTCCAGGTCACATGACTGAATCACCAGATAAGTCTGAAGCCCCCTAGGCCTACTGATCTCAGTAAGGGCTGAAGAAGGCAACCAGGGGGTCACCGAATGAGTAGTAAATAGTTAAGTGACTCAGTTAAATATTTGTTTCCCATACTTCATTTTTAAAAATCCACAAAAAAAATAGGAAATTTGGTTTTAAACAGTCACACAAGAAAGGAGGCAGTGGTGCCAGTAGGTGCAGCATGGTTATAGTAGTAATAATCATCACAACCTAGTTCGTAGGTCGGGGGGCATGCCCCTAGTGACCCCAAATCTGCTGCTAGAATTATTATCTGTAAATAAGGAGATACATACTCCTAGTGGAGACATTACACAAGATGGGACATATCAAATCTTCAAATTGGTCCTCCAATATGAAAGAATTTCAAGAAGCCCATATGATTTTATAATATAATGCCTAGGTTTCTTTAAATATATCTTGCATTGATTGACAGGGACATGGCAGAGGAAAGCAAACAATCTGAGTGAGTCCTTATAAGGTTACGGTTATTTGATATCACTCCTAAATATCCAGATACATGTACAATGAAACCTGACTAGACTGACCACAAACATCCTTTAATGGCTGTCATATTGCCCCATAAAATCTCTCTGCCTTAAAAACTACCAATAACTACAACAATAAACCACAGCCTAGTGCAGGTCATAATTGACCAAATGATGCAGTCCCATTGCTGGTGAGGTGATCAGGTTTCATTGTAAAGTTCCTACTTATATCCTGCTTTTACCTTAATAAAGTTAATTTATTGACCTTTGCAAGTTTTATTCCAGTTCTTGTATCATTTGACAAAGTCTTAACTTAACAGTAGACCCATATAAATGTAATCACTGTGAAAAACAATGTAGGTCTAGGGGAATGCATTACTTAGAGTTAGACCAAATGTCTTTTAAATATTTCCTGAATAACATATAATGATATATGATTTAATGAAATGTTTGATAATATTGTTAAAAAGCAGTCTTAAAATTACTCTTTCTCCTTCATAAATTCTAAATATATGAATTATGATCCAGCACTGAATATTCAAATAAAATTGTTTTGGCAAAGTTTGATCTATGAAAATTTCAGTAGGTTATAAGAAATCTATATCTCATAGACCTTTTGTACACTTGTGTTTAAAGTTCTAAATTGTAAGACTGATTTAATATGAAACTAGTCGTGTGAAACTAAAAGTTATTTATTTCTTGTTCGTAAACTTCAAATAATTTGTAGCTCCACATGGTACTCAATCACTCTCAAATAAAACTGCCTACGGTAAATGACTCATAATATTTCAGGTAAAAGTTTTATAAAAAAGATTTATTGAACTCATGCTGATCGTGGGAAATTGTGTACACGAATGTGTACAATTATTGTAGAAAGAATCTAAATAATCCTATATAAATGAGGTGTAAAATTGACAGTTTGGTCTAAGAAAACTGCAGCGTGTGCAGCTTTATTGTGAAAATGTCAGATGAGAAGGAAAAAATCAATTGTTGCATGTGTATATCTGTTTCTTGTCACCACATGCTCAGCATGCTATTGATTATTCATAGGTCAATGGATATCAGAAGGCTTTGTAGGTAATCATGTCAGGGTGACATTTGGCAACTTTACATGTATCTGTTTAACGATATATATTTCCTCTAATGTAATTATTTTTTATGCGTCTATTTACAGTTAACAAGTAATTGTGATAGTGAATCATGAAAAACTGATAGTTAAGGCCCTGCATCTGGCCCTATACTATTGGAGTTTATAGTTTCATTTCAGGAGATTATTTCAGAATGAATTTAGTGAAAGACCTATCTTTTTGAAAAGACTTGGGGCGTTATGGGTCACTTTTGGCCTAATAAAAAAATAAAATTTTCAACTTGAATTTATTTACCGATTTTTGTTATAAACATCATATTGATTAATTGGGGCTATCTTTCTTGATACAGATTTTTCCAAGGCACATGCTTAGATCCCCTACCATAGCAACAAAATTGCGTTGCTATGCAGAAATAGCCAAAATATAGTGTTTTTAGACATTTAGCATGCAGAAATGAAATCCTCTGCATGTAACAAACAAAAATGCCTTTCTACAAATGCATACTGGTATGGCGATGTTTAAGCATGTCAAATATTTATTTGTTTGGCGCATGCGAAGGCTTTCAAAATTTGAAAAAATGTGTTGTTAATTTCATTCAAAATGGCCAATTTTCAACCAAATAACGCATAATAGATGATATTCACACATTTTATTATGAAAATACTTGTTTATGTCTCGTTTGTGATGTCATATCTCCTAAAACAGTTGTGAAATGATTTTGAAATTTCATATTTGCATACTTCATTTTATCCAGATTACGAATATAACAACTAATTCTACAACCTCGATGAGGCCGGAAATGACCCTTAATGCCCCTAGTCCTTTGACATGGTGATACACTGTGATATATACATGTAGATCTGTGCAATAGGGGTTTTAAAAGTTTCGAAGGTCAGGGTCACTGTTGTTAAAAATAGACTTCCATCCTGGTATGCAACTTCAAATTTCACTTTCAGGCTATAGCTAGTGCATATCAATAATGAGAAATATGTTACTCCAACCTGAATTCTACTACATAAGGTTGTGAATCTAGCTCCCCGACAATTCAGACTTTAACAGTAATGAATATCCCTACACCTAGAAACCCTACCCGCGCATTATTCTAACCAATAGTGCTATGAGGTAGTGAATTCTCTACCCCTCCAATACTCTAACCCAAGCTAGTGACACGTCCTCCAAAGCGTCCCCTATATTCCATTCAGTCCTAAATAATGCACCAGATGTGGAATATTGTTCTTATTATATCCTTAACACTGTTTAAACTCTAAATAATAATGAGTGTATGTTTAGTTTAAGAAAACTACACATACTTAAAGTGTAGTTGATCAGCACCATTCAATTTGCAATATCCTCAGATTGAAAATATTCTATGTTTAATTCTTTTAATTTTTTTTTTTAAATGCTCTGTTTAAGAATTCTATTGTTATGCATGTGGCCATATGGTGACATTTAGCATTCTTCTTAAATACAATACTGCCACGTATATACCTCGTACAGTAACATGCTTCAACCTTGTGGTGTTTGTGTTGAATTTATATAAATGTATATATAAGTGGTAGTATATAGCAACATGGTTTACTATAATATAAATCTGATCCTTCCATTTGCAATGGAAATGGTGCTATTCATTTAAAAAATTTGAAACAGCTTGTTTATATAAATGTTCAGATGATGAATAATAGAATCTTACCTGGGTCTGTTCCGTGGACAGGGATATCTCAACCAGAGTGTAAGAGTATGGCTGGTCAGCACGAGGCTTGCCGAGTGCTGCAAACTCTTCCACGAGGGTTTAGATATCCCTGTCCATGGAACAGAGTCATGTTTGATTATTTTTCTCACATACATACAAATAAACAAATTCCAGTCAGAATAAACATTGATCTGATTCTTCCGCCAAAACCCCAAAAACCTTAGGGTTGAGACGGAGCTAGGATTCCCCATTAACAACAATTGTATGACATCACGGAAACAATACATTGACGTCACGTTGACAGTTCATTATTATGACGTCATAGCGCGTGTCAGCTGTCTTTCCCTACCCCGTGTGAGATAGAGTTATCTCTCCCCTAGCAACAACGGGATCACCCTGTGAAGTATGTGAGAATAAAATGATCTTTCATATGTAAGATTGTTTACCAGGTAAGTCTTCTTTTTATTTTGAAAAGAAGAAGGTATCATTGGATAATTATCAGCTTGGATTACTGTAACACAATTTCAAGAATCTACAACCACATGCCTCATTCCTATTTCTTTCAATTTTTAGTTTGTACTTCAGAGAGAGAAAAAAGGTATAATTAAGAAAATTCTTAATTTGGATTACTAAGTAGAACACTTTCTTAATTTCCAAATTCCAAAGTCACTGTTGGGCCCCATTCCCAAAATAGTGAAATCATGCATTATCACATAGCTTTGTCAGTGTCTATGCCATTATAGGCTTTATAGGAATGCCATTATAGGCTTTATAGGAATGTTGTAAATCTTGTCCAGAGTACCAGTAGTGACTGTTTCATCAATACTGTATCCAAAGTTAAAGTGTCTGTACATTCCATAGAGGATCGCAGTGCCCTAAAACCAGCCTACAGTACATCATTTTCTCTTGAAATCGAGTCTAATCTGAAATCAGTTCAGTTTTGGCAGGTTTGGAGGAGATGGCTAATGGAATTTCGTTGTATGCACAATTATTTATTACATTATCAAACACTTAACTCTTGTCTTTTGTTGATTAACATTATATAATGTGGAGACTGCAAGCTTTAAGATAGGAAACAAGCTACCAAATACAGCAAAACAAAGTTGTATTGCCACCATTTGTCTGCCGAAAAATTGGCTTGATATTGAGGTGTTGTACTGTAGGACTAAGATTCATTTCGAAAACTGGTGAAAGTTCCTATCATACAAATGGAGCTGCAAAAGAGACACTTTAAGCAATGAATGTTTTAGCAAATGTTGTTATGGTTCTGTAACACACATTGTATTTGATGACAAACTTTATTTAGCCTGGCAGGGTTTTAATATTAAATGTTTTACAGTTGCTGCCTTTTTTCAACATCATATTTTTGTTATATACTCTATTACCATTTTGATTTATTGTGATTTACTAATATCATGTGCCTGGTTTGCCTATAGTCTCTTCCCCTTAGGTATTACCTATACGATTTGTATGGAATTGGAAATAAATATAAAATGACACAAAATTGGTGAAAATATTTTTCAGTAAATTCTTCATCAAGAGCAATCCAAGGTAGAAATTACTTTCCTCTTGTTTCAGGTAACACACCAGAAACAATTCTATTTGTCCATATGGATCAAAAGTGATTTCTTATAAGATATGGATATTTTGTCACGATCACTTTTACAGTCATGATTTCATGAAGTTCCAGCATGATTGGTACAACCACTGCTTCATAACGAGAAACTAGTCTATACCAAGAAACATTTCCTGGTCAAATATTTGTTCTTCACTGTTTAAATTGATATTCAACCTGATTGTTAATATTGCCTTTTAGATGTACTTATTCTGTGAATTCTGTAAACTGTATTCACTGTTATGAAAAAAATGCCTCCATGAAGGCCAGCATGGAGAAAGACAGAAGTTAAACTTCTGCAAAAATACTAGTGTTGGGAATCGTAAGCGGAAATCATAATTGATTATCGGGAGACTTTTAATTAACGATTATCGATTATAATCGGAACATCTAAATTCTGGTAAATCTATTTGAAAAATCAATATTTGTAATTATGATGATTAGAATTGGGATTTCCATCATACCGTAATTTTGCTAAGAAAAATCAAAGGCTGACTTTGTTTATCCATTTGACAGTCTTTCATGCTTTTAAACTTTTAGTTTTAATCTACTACTAGAATTTGAGTAAGAGTAAATCTGACAGGTATCAACAGAAAACAGCATGCAACATTTAAACCGATTAATCGATTATGAAATGTATCAATCGATTAATCTGAATTGGTTGTACAATTGATTGATTTTCGATTATAAACGAATATCGGAACTTCACTAAAAAATACCTAGAATACGTTAATGGACATTATAGTGAAAGTGGGATGGTACCCTAATTTAAGGACTTGATAAAATAATTAACGGTATTGTAGATTTTTAAGTATCTGGCTTTCTTCAGTACAATTTTAGATATATATGTACCTGTAAGTTGAGTGGGGCCTCAATATTGAGCACTGTAAACTTGTGAGTTGATTAGCTGTCTAATATACATTACAGTTTATAGGATAGGGTATTGGTTTATCTGGTATGTATAAATAATGTGGAGTGGTAAACAGATTTACAGACTTAACAATAAAGTTTCCTGTTCAGTTATTCACAGTATCATCAGCTTAGCAAAAAGTTCACTTCAATAATTAAATAACAACTGTTTTCAAATTATTTCAAATTCATTGCTAAAACTAAGATTATTTATAATTTTTCATCTAGCGACAAAAATGAAAAGGAACGTATCATTTCTATTTAGCTGATACAAAAAAATATGACTTTTTGAAATTTCTAAGATTCAGCTGACAGCACTGTACAGTTGACCTTCAGATTCAGAGGTGATTTGTATAATGCCTGATAAAATGAACAACATTTTCATTCAATTAATTTCCCAACAATATAGAAATTTATGACTGACACTAAAAATTTCATAGAGATGTTAAAATTACAATCTGCATGGAGAAAAGTTGCACAAATTTTTATAACAGATGTAGGAAGACCCCTGAAGACGCATTTGAACTCTTCCAAATCAAAGGTTGGAATAGTCCATTATGAAATTTCAGGGGTGAATGAGTTAATATACCCATATCTGTATTATAGCCATCCCTTGGACCTGTTGTTTGTGGAAAGTTGTGGGGAAGGACAAGAGACCCTGTTGCAGCATACTCCTTTCTGTTTAGATAGAATGACCCTGTTTTTCGTTGTCATGAGAAGGGTAGCACCTGACATAAATCCAACCTTATAGCAGTGAGACTATAATTTGTGGTACAATGTTTGCATCTAGTAAAATGCTCAAGGCAAGCTGTTGTAGATAAAGAATTTGACATGACTCTGCATCTAATAAATTTTGATATATGAATATACACATAACAAGTAGAACAATTATGCAAATATACGAATTTACACATAACAAGTAGAACAAGCAAAGGATGGCGTTTCTATAGTAGACTTAAGCTTGCTCAAGCGAGAATGAAGACCGATTCTGTTCTGATGAACCCTTAACTTAGGCACCAGTATTTAATAATTGTCGAAATGAAATAAAGCTCATATTTTCAACAGCTGTCAGCTTGTCATTCAGACACATCCAAATCAATTTGTACTGTTGATCATGCCAGATATATATACAATGTATGTGGCCTGAACTGTGTATATATGTTATGTTGTGACACAATCTGGAATTGTGTGGGTATAATTATACTACTAACACTTCATAAAGGCCAAGCCAAAACATGATAAGTTTTCTGTAATGTTACAGAAGTTTAATATGTGACCTCCAAAACTATTTTTTCAATTTCGACACAAAAGCCTTCCTGTTGTAACTATTCAATGTGTGGTCTTTTTGAGATTAAGGATCCTGCTGTATAGTTTTAATGAGATAAATTGAATTTTGTTGAAATCTTTTATATTTCTGAAATTTAAAGTGTATGGAGAAGCTGGGATGTCATCAATGAAAACTCACTCTATTATTCAAATTTTGGTGTGCATAAAGAGAGTTTAAGGAAATTTGACTTTTAGTAAATTAATATGCAATTTCAAAATACCTAAAGTGGAAGCTTACTTGGATTTTCGAAGATGAGTTGCATGCTGTCATTTGCATTGCATTGTTTTACATAATCTGAAGGTACAATGAATGTGAAAAGTAGAAATGAAGGAATTTCTTCTATTCAATAAATAGAGGCATTTACAATTTCATATTTTGAATGCATATCATGCTTTGGGATATTTTGGTTTCACCATTATTTTGCTGTTTTCGCTCCAATTTTGGTGCATGTGTACACTTTTGTGAATTGTAAAATTAGTTATTTTAAAGGGACTCTTTTGGAAATAAGAAACAATAATGCCAGATGAACAGGGTGTATTCAAGATTTTGGATCTATGATGTTCGACTGAAGGTTTTACATGCATAATTTTGGATATTATCTAAAATTGAAATCAAAAACACATAAGGAGATGAAACAAAAAACTAATACTTAAATCAAACAAGGAATCTAAAAGCAACTTGTAGATTTTAATGCTTTTATAAAATAATTTTGAATTCCAGGTAGCATGTAGTTTATATAGTTTGATGTTTTATGAACTATGTCCACTTACAATATTCAAAGAAATGTATTTCTTTTGTCAGATTCATTTATAGTTATGTTTGTCGAAAATGACTGAAACTGTCAATGGGTTGTAAAACTATACAAAAAACAATCATTCAATACCATAGTGTATACATACCAATGCTATTGCCAGGCACAGGAAACTAAGATACATTTTGCCTGGCCTAAGTAGACTTTAATTTTGTGATATGTACATGTAGTACATTCTTCTATAAGGAACATATGGTGAAATGAGTCACGACCAATATCTGTTGTGTGAACAGCATCAGTAGTGACAATGGAGTGCTAAAGATGAGATAACAATTCTCTTCCTGTAATTATTGTGTACCATATATATGTCCAGGCCTCTTTTGTGTTTCTATTGGAAGAAGGTTATCATCCCCTGCTGTCTACTGAAACGCAGTAACAGGTTTTTGTTTTCATTGACCATATATACATACCTGGTGATGTGTTTTAACTCAAAATCCTTTCAGTTGGCAGTATATACTGATTTCATTTATTTGGCTATTGTCAACCTTGGGCATATTTTTTTGGTAACTTTCACACTTTTCATAAATTAATGAATACATATATTGTTTAAATTACCAAGCATATAAGACATTGTACAGGGTTCTTTTGTACACTTTTCTGAAGAAGATATGAAAGTCAGAGGAAGGTAGCATATAGCCTTAAATAGGAGGTGATACTTGGTTTTCACTTCAACAACAGCAGTCCTTGGTGAACAGAAAGGTATTAATCGTTCATGTCGGTTTTGTTTGTTCGCAAAAACGAAAAATAAAGAGGAGATATAATATTTATCCCTCTAAAAAAAGATACTGCGTGGATTAAAATAAAAATCATTAAAACATTGAAGTTTGGTTAATTAGTGATACACTTGGTGTTTTATTTTACAGTAAGGTGGACGGCTATGGATTTGAACGGGATGGAGACTTCGACCATTCCTCCTACGACGAGTTTATGTCCAGGTACCTGGCCATACTTTCCCGCAGATCTATCAGGTGGTCAGGGATCGTTAGCAAGAAAAACAGAGTCCCCAGATCCAGGAAAGGTATTTCTTACAGTGCATCTAGCCAATTCACTCTTTCTAAATTACAATTGTATCCCTAAATATACCCCCTCCCACATATAGCCCAGTGACTACCGAGTATAATGATCGTGTTACATGTGCCTACATATTAAGAAATATTCATCATTATGAGTTGTTACATGTAAAAGTTATATATTTCACCTTATTGTTCAAACATATGTGTTGACTTTATCTTTTCTGCCATATCAAATGCAGGGCTTAGACAATAAGGGTAGCCTGATAGTCAAAGACTAGTGAATTCTCCAGCTGGACTACTGCAGGGCTAGACAAAACGGATAGCCTGATAGTCAAAGACTAGTGAACTCTCCAGCGGGACTAATGGTTCTAAAAGCTGCTTAAGTCTAAGTGACTAGTCATTTATTTCTATTACAAATCATGCTGAATAATATTAAGTTAATGGGATTTGCATATATGGACTAGAAGCGTGATGAGACTAGTGTTTTTGAAATTAATTTCTAGGCCCGCAAATTTAGTGAACTTTATTTTATCAGACTTAAATAAGATTGTGAAGCCTTGATATACGAGGATGAATTTAGAAAAGTGTTGCATGTACAAAGTGTTGCATGTACATGTACAGGCACTATTGGGGTATGTGCATGACCTGTTGATATAGTCCTGATGTGGTGACAGAATACAAAATGTATTATGTTCAAATGGAATCAATAGGAGATATAGGTACATGCAAAATTCATGTTTTGAAATTTGTCCTCTCACATCCCGACACCCAGTGCTAGTTGTCACCCCATCCCACAGTTGTCAACCCGTGTTGAAATCCTGCTTATGTCTTTAAATCACTTTTTATTCCAATAATTGTGTACCCCCTGGTTTCATTATAAGGACAATATGGATTTAATTTAACAAACAAAAAATCATTGGATAGGGTCAGACGAGCATATTATGCATCCGTTTGCGGTGCTCTTGTTTGTTGTTGTTATGTAATATTAAATGGCTGAACAATTAAAAGAAACATAATTTTGACCATGGACTGAAAACCAGATTAATACATTGTATTAAAAATGTGTTGTTTTGGTGTTTTTTTTAATGTATAAAAATTGTAAATATTTTGATCATATAACTTTAGGCATAGAGAATTACTGGATGTAGTATATCAATTGGAATTTAAAGTTAAAAATGCTAAGCTATTCTAATAATGATTTTTCTTGTGTGGTATTTTTCTCAACCTTTACACCTTAAGAAGGTTAAAAGATTTCCCTTAGATAGATACAGGAGAAACGTGTACATACAATTTTGTTGCTACTGAAGTACACATGATTATGATCTTAAAAATCACTGAAGCATAATGTTCAGAAATATATAATTGGTTTCATTCAATCAGTCAGGTCTGCATCCTGTATATATAAAATGGTCCTTTTAAAAGCTGCTTTATAATGGAGTAATTTCTTGTCAAAATTGACTGCTTGTAAACATTCACTTCCAGATTCATGTATGTTTTTACACCTTAAATGTATATCCTGATTTTAAATACCGTATTTGCCATATTAACCATCATGGGCACTCAAAACATTAATTCACTGACTTGCTCTGTCAACATTTGGATTAGAACAATAAAAAAAACAATATGAACAGCGAAAAAGCGCAATATCCGAGCCTTTCAGTGAGAAGTTAACATGTACAGCACTATAGCAACGCTGTCGATCGACAGCACAGTGTCCGTTATTAGTCTGAGTTCACACATAACACATTCTTGAATTTACACAATACATCACAAGTAAGAATTATAAGTATCATAAGATCTACCTCTAATAAGATATTTCTGTTCACATTTGGATTTGAATAAAAACGAAAAGGTTCAATTAGAGCATGCATGCACTGAGAGGGTGCCACAGGGAGAATTTCAAATTGCAGAAAGTATGATATCAATAGGTTTTAACGTGAAATAGATCACTCATTTATAACGATGTTTGAGATACTGTTAGAAGATGATTTTGGTTCAGAACAGATGCACGTACTTGTATTTAGAGAGGATAGGTGAATAAAACGAGAAGTTACCTTCTCTCCTCGGCTTGGTTTGTTAGCTAGAAATTCATAAACAGCTGGCGCTAATACGTACGGCTGTACAGTTCAGGATTTTTCCCATTACTGATCAAAACTGCCAAGAAAACATTGTCTCTTGTCAATTTCTCTATATGAATTGTTCATAAGGAGTATCAATCTATATAATCATGAAGAATTATGTGACAAGTTTATAAAAAAACTTACTTAAGTAATTTGTCCCTTTAATAGAGATTGAGTTATAAAAGATTCTTGTTACAGAAACTAGCTCATTCTGTCATTTTCTGATTGATTGATATTTTGTGTTAATGGTCGATCGTCATATAGCTACATTATAAAACTTTCAATTCATACCTGGGATGGAGTGCTATAAAGTTTCCTCATTAAAATGACCTTGACCTACTTTCAAGGTCACAGCGGTCAAATATGTTAAATATTTCAAACAACAATATCCTAAGAACCATTTGAACTAGAGTTATGATACTTGGGTATGTTATGAAGACCAGCAGTGCAAATATTTTTTCCAGCTACAGTTATGAGGTTTAAGATCAACTTTAAGTGCTAGTTTGGGGTCAAATGTCAACTTTGGTTAAAAGCTTTAACAGTCTTCTTTTCAAGTTCCATAAGGCCCAGGGTCATGATATTTGGCCAGTAAGTACCTGGGATGTGGTGCTATAAAGTTTCCTCATTAAAAAGACCTAGACCTGCTTTGAAGGTCACAGGGGTCAAATATGTTAAAAATTTCAAACAACAATATCCTAAGAACCATTTGAACTACAGTCATGATACTTGGGTATGTTATGTAGACCAGCAGTTCGAATATTTTTCTTAGTTACAGTTATGAGGTCAAAGGTCAACTATAAATGCTAGTCGGGGGTCAAATGTCAACTTTGGTTAAAAGCTTTAACAATCTCCTTCTCAAGTTCCATAAGGCCCAGGGTCATGATATTTAGCCAGAAGGTACCTGGGATGGAGTGCTATAAAGTTTCCTCATTAAAATTACATTGACCTACTTTCAAGGTCACAGGGGTCAAATATGTTAAAAACTTCAAACAACAATATCCTAAGAACAATTTGGACTA